ACTTTTCCTCCACATTTGGGTGGTTGGATTCAATGATCTCTAGAGGTCCCCTCCAACCCCTACAATTCTCTGATTCTGTAATTCTGTGATCTAAGCCATGATATTACACTCAGAATTGTGACAGGAGTTTGTGACCAACTCTTTTTTTAACAAAAAAATGAGCAGTGATTTCCATAAAACAGTGGCTTGCATGCTTTGAATTGAATTGCATTCACATACAAAAATATGACTGTCCAAAATAGGACAGTGGTTGTACCTATCCAAATTACGGAGATGTGTTTTGGGAGAGTCCCAGTGGAATAAAGGCTCAGACAACATGTTGCTAAGTTGTGGTATTGTGATCACTCTTCATCATCATGATCCCATACTGTAAGGCAAAATCTAACCCTGAAATAGTTTATTGTGTTTGCACATTCCTTTTCTTGTAGCTCAGTTTTTGATTGACTTCTTGTTTTGTGAGGTAGCTTTCTGGTCTAGCAGTTTGGCATTGAGTTTACGAAGAATGTTTTAACTTGATAATGGTGACAGTCTTGTCAGTTGTAGAAGTGCTCCTACTTTAATTGCAGACATAGTGCCATGTGGCATGTGTGTGTTGTACCATCTCCTTCACCACAGTAGGGGGCAGTTCCTGCACTATGCTGTTTCTGATATAAAATATTTCTTGCTCATTGATCATATCTTTAAGGTGAAGTCTTCGACATTTGTCATTGAGAATGGTACTTTGAAAAGTCTTGGCCAGTCATACTCTTCAACTACTCCTCCTACAAAAAACATGAGTGAAACCCCTGTTCTCTGTTATCAAACAGAAATACAGAGTGCATTTCCCAAAATGAAAGGGTAAAGCCTGGTTTAGTTTTTGTAGCATGACCCTGGGATATCTAGAGAACAACATCAAAGAGAAACAAGGGAATCTCTGTTTCTAGCTTTACTGTGACTGCTTCTTGGATACATCTCTGACTTTTCTCGTCTTCTTTGAGAAGAAACCTGAAATCGAGTAAAAAGAATACAAGGATATTAAGGTGACTTGGTTGCCATTTAAATATTCCTGCGTGGGTAATGAAAGCAGAAGCCTGAGAGATCCTCATTGGATAAATATATAGAATTGTAAATGAGAAAGCTAAAGTTAAGCAAACTTCAGAGGAAGTATTATCACTTCCTTTAATTAATGAGGGCGCCAACAGATGGGAGTTTTTTCCCCTCTTCTCACCCTAAAATTGAAGTATGGACTTTTTTTTTCTCTTTCAAGTTATACATCTTTCTAAAAATACTACTTTGCCTCATAAACATGGCTTTTTTAGTTGAGTCAGAAGTTAATAGATGAAAATCTACCATGAAGCAAGGCAGCTTCTCAGCTACTTTGTGAACAGCCTCTGTTTCAATGTCTCTTTAAGAGTGTCATAGTTCTCATTGCGGCTTTGGCTGTCCTGTACTTTCCTTAATATGATCAAGCTTGTTTTCACTTCTCACTTTTTCAGCATGGCTTCTGTCTCTTGAAGTAGATTTCAAGCTCTCTTTCTTACAGTTGGAAATGACTTCTGGTGGCACAGCTACATGGGTCTTCTGGGGTAATCAGCTTAGTTTTAGCATCTGAACATTGTTTGGTTTGTCTTGGCTTTTGTCCTTTAGGAGTAAAATTGATCCATTCTTCAATTAGAAGCATCCATCAATATGAGGAAGGAGTCTGCCAGGAATTATTTACGTAGTCAGGAGGTCAAAGAAAGATGTTTTAGCTAGGATAGAGCGATAGGATAGACCATGGTGACTTAGTTTTTTTTTTTTATAACTTCAGATTCTTAGAAGATAGCAAAAATGTCGCTTTTTTCATGTTTCATTTTTGATTCATTTGATGAAGACAGTGACCTTCCATCCCTAAGCTGAGGATTTTGCTGTTGTGAAGTTCTTCAACTATAATTAGATCTTTGAAAATATGCTAGAATTCTCCTGTCTGTTCCCCATCCCCCTTACCCGTAATCATCTGGTTCTAAAGTGAGTTTGCATCCATCCTTAATGGAAAATTCTTAAAATATTTAGCAATGTGTTCCCTCCATTGTCTGTTCCCCACATTCCTGAACACTTTTCTACATTTACTTATTTTGGCTACTGCTTGGAAGCATCCACAGCATGTGTGTATATAGGCAAACATTTGAAGAAAGATGAAGGGTGACCTGTAAGTGCTCTCTGAGATGTCACCTGTGTACACATCTCTAACCCATCTCTCACCCTCTTTGCCGGTGCCTTGGAAAGAAATGTGTGCCCTTCAGCTAAATGGAGCTGAATGAGAATAGCGTATCCCACACCTTTTGTGCCATATGTGTCACCTGCTTAGGGGAAAGAGTTTATCCCAGAGCTTTTTTGGACATCTCAGAGGTAAAACTGATTTCAGAGTGGTGCTTCCCTTTAGGACCAGAGATAAAACATTCCAGAAGCAGTTTAAGTAATCCGTTTCCCCTTGCTGTACAGCATTTAATGCGTATGAGCAACTGTCTGCAAGTTCAGTAATGATCACTTTTGACAGCCATTCTTTTGTACTGTATTCAGTATTACTGTTATTACCTCCCCCTTTTTTTGCAGTGAATCTTAAGGTTTCTTTGCCACCCACTCATGTACCAGATTTCACATCAACTAGAGAGAAGAGGAAAACTTTACTCAGCCTCTTGGCAATCATCCCACTTCTAGGCTTTCATTTGCCAGTGATCAGCCCAACATATATTGCAGAAGTATATGCAAATGAATATTATGCAAATTGTTCTAGGTGCTCTAAGTTGCATTAGGAGTAGACATGCTTTTCCATGTGGATGAGCCCCAACATTTGTGTTTTCCTTTAACAAAGACAATTCTGTTGGCATATTTTGGGGTTTTTTTTTTCACTTTACATAAACTTGTATGGGGTGAACATCATAAGAAGAGCAGCCTGGTACCCTGTAAGCCAACAACTTCACTGTAATTAGCAGTGTGCATCAGCTATCCAAGAATTAGCAGACCTTAACAATATAGCTCTCCTAGGGGAGTAGTGTTCTTGCATCAGTTTCATCTTCAAAAAAAAAAAAAATTAATGTAGGAGCTGTCCATACAATTGCTCTCAGTCCAGCACTTTCTAGAGACCAATTCTTGTCTGGCTCACTTATTTCTCTTGGGTCTTCTGAATGGAGATTTCCACTCTGCTTAAAGGCTTTTGTCTTGATTTCCAGTTTCTGGGGACTCTGTGCCTGAAGAGCCCGCACTGTGCAATATTAATAGTACATGCCTTTTCAACTCATAAAGGTTTGATAGTGACTGTGAAGTCTGACTGTCAGGAGACTTTGTTTTAGGGAAAACTAAAGCAAGAACTTTCTGTGATTCCCTAGGATTACTTCAAAGAACTGCAGAAAAGTAATGCATTGGTATTATTAAAGAGTATTTGTTTATCTAAGTGGTGGGCAGAGTATGATGCTCTTACTGTAATAACTGCCTTGAGTCGTGGTAGCATCAAGGATTATAAAGCAAAGTCACAGGTGCAGCTGTTTAATTAAACTTTTGTATTTAAAAAGATTCAATACCTGAAAAATCTAAAATGTTCAGAAGATAAAAATGCATTTCATGCACAAACAAATTTTCTGGTTTTCTTGCTTACAAGAGGATGTTTCAAAACTGTGTAACAAACCAGACCTTATTCAGATTTTGCAGAGAAATGGTCTTGTTAGTAAGCTGAAATAAAGTAGCGATTTCTATTTAAATTTTAACTTTTGTAAGGAATGCAGGTATGTTGAAGTTTTTGGAGGGTTTGGGGAGAATAAGTTGACTTGTACTGGGAGTTTTAGAAAATCTTCTGCCCTGGAAAATGCTCCAAGTTTCATGTAAATGTTATGGTTTTATGTAAGTTGTTACTAGCAATTAATTATATTAGGCATCCTTGATATGCTGCTTCATGGTAAAGACAGTGCCCTGGATTCTGCAGGCTTTGAGATTTTTTTTTTCTCACAAAACTCAGTTCCTCCCTCTGCTGAACAAAGCAAGCTTTGTAGGCTTTATTTTCTTTCCTTCCCCTTTTCCTCCTCCTTCCTCCTACACTTTGGGTGTGTGGGTTTTGATTTGTGGTTTTTTTTCCTCTTTCTACCACTTAGTCTTTGCACTGAAGCATTTGGAGTAGACTGCACTTAACTAATCAATGCTTTTTTAAAGCACAGTGTTAAAAATCAAATCACAGAGCAGGATGCTAGGCTATTAATCCAACTTACTGATAGGTAGACCTGAGAAATTGATGCAGTAGTTAGAGACATGTCTGCTGTGTGCTCTCCCTGAGATTTCCACCTCCACTGCAACATCAGAAGAAGAATATGTAATTGCCTTCACCAGAAGCTTATGCTGGAGGAGTAGGTCTAGAGGGAGATGCCAAACTCTGCTTCCTGGCAGATGTTTCTTTCTTTCCTTCGTCTTTGCTTTAAACAAATTAAGCTCTGACAGGGAAGTTGCTCAAATTCCTGGCCATAACTTCCAAACTGGTGCACCCGATATTGGTGGTGGGCAACTTAGGATTTGCTTTTAGTAAAGCCACTGATCTTCATTTGATGAAATAAACATTCAGTAAAATACTAATCATTGACTTTCAAGTTTCTGGTTCAGATATGTTGGTTAGTGTGTGGATTGATGTACCTAGTAGTTCACATATGCCATACTTTTGGTGTTACAGTAAAATAATTTTTACCACTGGTAAGAGTACTTCCTAAGAACATTGGAACAAATTGTTTAAGTTCCTTTGGGAGATATAACATTTATTGCCATGTACTAGTGTCACACTGCTGGAAAGCTGATTAGTTCTTCCAGGTGCTTTCTGCACTTCAGAGCTGTATATTTTGGAATGTAAGATTTGGCTGCTGCTACTGAACTGAACAAATGTGAAGTGCTGAATGTAAAATTGTAGCCTATCAGCAGGACATCAAAGACTTCAGGAAGAAAGTGTGTGTTCTTTGCTCATGTCTTCATCAATTTCTTCTTTATTTTTGTCTTGTGTTTACACAATGTAGGTAAATAATGCCAGTGATCCTTGGTCAGGCTGGAATATTGGGAAGTCTGGGAACTGGGATAATGGAACCGCTGGAGACAGTTGGGCAACGAAACCTGAAAGTGCAGCTGGCCAGAGGAACAGTGCTTCAAATAACTGGGATACAGCAGCAACATTTGGTCATCCACAGGCATATCAAGGACCAGGTGTGCTAATAATGCTCTTACTTTTGAATAAATTAGGGTAGGTGGACAATGGATGTAGGAATTACCTAATTTTTTGCAACTGTAGGAAATGAATTGCTTAATAAAAAGTAAGTACGAAAATAAAAATAAAAACCTTCTAGGTAGGAAATCGTCATATGAATAAATTGAATACTAAATTGAAGTAAATTGAAGGTCATCGTTTGGTTTTAAAAATATTAATAAAAATAAAAGTCAGATCCACAATAATGAGTTCCTCAAACCTGCCTTGAGCCAGAGTCTTGTTCGCAGGCAGTCTGTTCTTAGACACCTTGTTCAACTTGAATAACTGGAACTTAAACACCCTTGAATTTATGCCTTCAGTTCTGTGAAGATATAGTCTCCAAATCCTTGATTTTAGGAAGATGGTAGCCTTTCAGAAGGCTCTTCACCTATTTGTAGGAAAGACAAAATAAGAGGAAAACTTACAGCTGAATATTACTAACCTATGGTATATGAATATAGAGCAGTGCTGTTTTTTGTAGTATTTTTGCACATCAGCATCTTTTTTTTTTTTTTTTCCTCTAATCACTGTAGCCCCAGTGCATTTGTAGTGTAGTGTAGTGTTTGTTAGGATATACGTGGTGGGGATGATAACTGAGGAAGAATAAAAAAATATAAGATCCAGCTAGCTTTTCAGTATATTTACCTTGTTGATTATTTGTTTATGAGTGTTGAGGACGGTGGTTCTGCTTTCTAAAGAGAAAGTATATAACTGTCTCTACCCTTCCTCTCTACTTCAGCAGCTGCTGATGACGATGATTGGGATGATGACTGGGATGACCTGAAATCATCTTCACCATCTTACCTTGGTTACAAGGAAACTGAGTCGTCAGAGGCTGGGGGGTCCCAGCGTGGAAACTCTCGTGCAGCTGCTATGAAGTTACCACTTAACAAGTAATGGAAAATACAGAACAAATGTGTATATTGAAGAGAACTGGCATTTTTCAAGTAGCATAGATGTGTTGCAATTAATATTTTGGGCGTAAAAATGTATGTGGATTAAGTATTGGCTCTATGTGATTTGATAATGTAGATTCAGGAAACCCTGAAAGTACATCATAAAACTATTTTTGGAGATGTTATACAAACAAATAATGCTTTTACAAGCTCTGCATTTCTGGACTTACTGTTGGTTAAGTTAGTTTCACGACTAGTCATTCACAGATAGTTGACTTTGTTTATCAACTGGACATTTTGTCCAGTTATGCTGCAGTACCTCTCCATCAGTTTGGCAGCTACTTGTTGCAAACCCACTTACTATGACCAGCATTAAAATAATTTAAAAGCATTTATCTGAAAGGTATGTCAAACTTGTAGTGTTTCTGCAAGCAAATAGTAGATTGTAGATACTTGAAGGGCTAAGTATCTTCTTAATTAAAAAGGGAACCACTATTTGTTATTCGTAAAGCCTTTGTAAGGATGCTACAGTGATTTTTGTGCATTTTTCTTTCTAATTGGTGGACAAATTATTTTGACTCATGCTTAGAAGTACTTTTTAAATCCGCACTTCGTTGTTCTTTCAGATGATTGAATTTTCATTGTCTGAAACAGCAAGAAGGTGTGCACGTGTGTATGTGCATGTGTGCATCTGCTAAGTATAGGCTGCAGTGAATGGTGTGGCAAGTGTTAGTTCATGCCCTGCTGTTACGTTTGCTCTGGTGGACTGCAGGACACAAGTAACTACATGTCATGTAAGAAGGAGCCTGTATTACACAGACAAAAGCTGGAGATTAGCAGCACAAACTTCCCTGCTTTTTCAGGGTGAATAGTTGGTAACCCATGTCATAATTTTTTTCTATTTTTGAGGAATGCTAAGTGTTTTTCTTAGTGCTGGTGTATTCTGTGCATATTGAAAGGGGATGCAAAGTAAACTTATCGCTTTGTTTTGGTTAGATTTCCTGGATTTGCAAAACCTGGAATGGAACAGTATCTATTGGCAAAGCAGCTAGCAAAACCGAAAGAGAAGATTCCCATAATTGTAAGTTGGAGGTGGATGAGTGGGTGTGACTGTGGTGTGGGTGTGACTTTTGTTTAGTGGGTTGGCTGGATTTTCATTTGGTTATTTTTAGGGAGGAAGTGGGGTGGTGGCTGATTTCTGACTTGTTTTGGGTATTGTTTTTTTTGTTTTGTTTCATTTTTTTAGATTCTCTCCACTTCTCTTCTTACCCAAGTTAACTTTTAGTCTCAAGGTTGTTAAATATATCTGGGTCAGACAAAATTGGTACTTAATACATAATTAGAAATGTCACTGTCATCATGAATCTATACACCACTTAAAGTCATGATGGACCGCATTCCAGAGTCCTGTTTCACTGAGGGTTTTTTTAGAGTCAAGTTTTAACTCTTCGAAGTGTTCTTCTGTTTTCAAAATTATTCTTAATAGTGTTTTTCTTACCTGCATTATTTGTGAATGTGAAGAACAAGCCTTGTTGAAATGGAGAGGGCAGAAAATGTATTACAATGTCTCAGCTTTCTTGATAGTTACCTGAAGTATGTTCATGAAGGTTTGCTATATGCAGTCATGATGATGAGTTCATCTGCTGATCTAATAAAAACACTGTTCTAGATCTATACTATTATAGTTAAATATGATCAAGGTAATAATACCTACAACTCACTTCTCCTTAGTTATTTGAAAAAAAAATGTACAGAAATACTTAAATACAACTGTGGTAAATGATGTCTAGCTGTAGGAACCCCCCGTGTTTCCTGATTCTCAGGCTCACTGAAAGCATCTGAAACTTAAATGAAGAGAATTAGAAACTCTGTTTTGAAAATATTCTTCATTCATGTAATGGAATGTATTTGTTTCTTTGTTTCCTTGTTTGCAGCTGGTACAATGTCATGTAATCAATTAAAAACAGTAATATTTGCAATTTCTTACAGATTGGTGATTATGGCCCAATGTGGGTTTATCCTACCTCTACATTTGATTGTGTGGTGGCAGATCCCAAAAAAGGTTCAAAAATGTATGGTCTCAAGAGCTACATTGAGTATCAGCTGACCTGCACTGTAAGTGTGTCTGAAACAGGCTCTTTCACAAATGTGGGTCATTTGTACAGATAAATAAGTTTATTCTAGTTGGTTACAGGGTTGTAAATGATGGTTGACACAAGTTTTCCCCCAAAGAGTAGCTTAGTTATTTCCTAACATTTTTAGTTCTGTAACTATAGATTCAAGGCTCTACATCATAAGTTTTATTTCATGTTCCACATATTTACTGATCACACTTGTTTCATGTTGCTATCTGTAGATACCTGTCAAAATTCAGAGTTGTGTTTCTCTTACAGAACACTAATCGATCTGTCAACCACAGATACAAGCACTTTGATTGGTTGTACGAGCGTCTCCTGGTTAAATTTGGATTAGCCATTCCAATCCCATCTCTTCCAGACAAGCAAGTAACAGGTAAATGTTTATTACTTGTTTGTGGACTCATAGGAATCATAGAATCACCAAGGTTGGAAAAGACCTCCAAGATCATCCTGTTCAACTGTCCACTTTCACCAATATTTCCCACTAAACCATGTCCCTCAGCACAACATCTAAATGTTTCTTGAGCGCCTCCAGAGACGGTGACTCCACCACCTTCTTGTGCAGTTCCATTCCAGTGCCCGACTCTCTCGGAGGAGTATTTCCTAACATCCAACCTGAATCTACCCTGATGCAACTTGAGGCCATTCCCTCTAGTCTTATTGCTAGTTACACAGGAGAAGAGGCTGACCCCCACCTCACTGCAGCCTCCCTTCAGGTAGCTGTAGAGAGTGATAAGGTCTCCCCTGAGCCTCTAGACTGAATAATCCCTGTTCCCTCAGCCACTCCCCATAACACTTGTGCTCCAGACCCCTCACCAGCTTCATTGCCTTTCTTTGAACAAGTTCCAGTGCTTCAGTGTCTTTCCTCTGGTGAGGTGCCAAAACTGAGCACAGTACTTGAGATGCGGCCCTGCCAATAATAAGTACAGAGGGATGATCACTTCCTTGTTCCTGCTGGCAATGTTATTTCTGATACAAGCCAAGATGCCATTGGCCATCTTGGCTACCTGCGTACACTGCTGGCTCATGTTCAGCCAACCGTGAACCAACACCCCCAGGTCTGTTTCTTCTGCACAGTCTTCCACTCAACCCCAAGCCTGTCCTGTTGCCTTAGGTTGTTTTGGCCAAAGTGCAGGATCCTGCATTTGATCTTGTTGAACTTCATCCCATTGGCCTCAGCCCAGCTATCCAGCCTGTCCAAATCCTTCTGTAAGGCCTTCTCACCCCCAGGCAAATTGACACATCCTGCCAACTTGGTGTCATCTGCAGTCCTACTGTGGGTGCACTCAGTGCCCTCATCCAGATCATCAATAAAGATATTGAACAGGACAAGCCCCAGTACTAATCTCTGGGGAACACCACTTGTAACTGGTCACCAGCTGGATTTAACTCCATTCACCACCACTCTCTGGCCCTATCCAGTCAGTTCTTTACCCAGTAATGGGTGTATCTGTCCAAGCCATGGGCTGCCAGCTTTTCCAGGAGAATACTTTGGGAGACAGAATCAAAGGCTTTGCTGAAGTCTAGGTAGACTACATCAACAGCCTTTCCCTCATCCACCAGGCAGGTCACTCAATCATAGAGGGAGATCAGGTTGGTCATACCAGACCTGCCTTTCATGAGCCCATGCTGGCTGGGCCTGATCACCTGGTTGTCCCACACATGCTTTGTGATCTCCTTCAAGATGATCTGTTCCATAACCTTTCCTGCCACCGAGGTCAGGCTGACAGGCCTGTAGTTCCCCCAGTCCTCCTTATGACCCTTCTTGTAGATGGAAATCCCACTGGCAAGCCTCCAATCCTCTGCGATCTCTCTAGTTAATCAGAAATGCTGATAGATGGTGGAAAGCAGCTTGGCAACCACCTCTACCAGCTCCCTCAGTACTCTTTGGTGGATCCCATCTGGCTCCATGGACTTGTGGCTGTCCAGGTGCAGTAGTAGGTCTCTTAACTATTTCCACCTGAATCGTAGGGAGTTTGTTCTGCTCCCCATCTGAGACTTCCAGGTCAGGGGGTTGAATATCCCAAGGATAGCTGTTCTGACTTCTAAAGGCAGATGTAAAGAAGGCATTGAAAACCTCAGCCTTTTCCTTATCCTCAGTGATCACATTCCCTGCTGCATCCAGGATGGAGATTCTTGTTAGCTCTCCTCTTACTGCTAATATATTTGTAAATAAGTTTTTTCTTCTCTTTTACCCCTACAGCCAAGTTGGGTTCAAGCTGGGCTTTTGGCTTTCTAATTTTCTGCCTGCGTATTCTAACAACGTCTTCGTACTCTCCGTGAGTTGCCTGTCCCTTCTTCCACAGAAGATAGATTGTCTTTTTCTCCTCAGGAAAAGCTCCCTATTTATTCATCTTCTTCCCCACCAGCTCGTCTTGTGGCACAGGGGAATAGTCTGCTCCTGCACCTTTAAGACTTCCTTATTGAGGAGCATCCAGCTTTCCTGGACTCCTTTACCCTTCAGGACTGAATATCATGGGAACTTCCCATACCAGAACACTTCAGTCCTCCCTCTAGAAGTCCAAGGTAGCAGTTTTGCTGGCCTTCCTCATGACTTCAGCAAGAATTGAGAACTCTACCATTTTGTGGTGACTGCTCAAGACAGCTCCAGAAGAGAAATAGAGAGAGAATTTTTGTTCAAGTTTCAGTTACATTGTACCACTTGGGTGTTTTTTCCCCCATTTTCTTTAAAAAAGATAGTAAAGAAAAATCTTTCATTGTTCAGTATTTATGGTAAACTGTAACTATCTGTTGCTAACAAAACACCACCACTAAAAGCATCATCTTGTATCTCCTGTTTATTTCTGTAGGCCATTGATTTAAAGCCAAGACAAAGTGGATTATTCTTTTGTTTGTTTACTTACTGTTATTTCCCTATTATTACAGAAGATATTTGCTGTTGGAGAGAATAGATAGTTAGTTATATTCAGTATTTGCAGATTGTCTGGAGGAGTTGTTTTGAGAGTTTTGTTTTAATTTTCTTTTGTATTTGATTGTGAAAGTGCTATGTTGTCGGACCTTTGCTGCAAAGCTCTCAGAGGAAAGGGAGAATTCTCCTGCAAACTATTCTTTGCCTATAAGTAAAATGTTGCAGCTATTCCTTTTACTGCTTGATTTCATACTTGGTTTAGAGAGCATATGTCATTTGTATAGCACTGTGCTCCAATCTAATGCCCATTTGGCTAGACCAAACTCTCCAAAGCCTATGAAAGTCAGTTGTTCTTACTTCAAGGAAAGTGGGATTGCACAACTTAAGTGCTCATGAATTCAGTAACTACAATTGAATGTGCAGTCTGTGCATTTTCACTGGTCTCTTGCTCTCTTTCTGCAAGGGAGCATGGGTGTTTGTGAGGAAAGGAAGGTAAACCTGTATAAAATCTGCCTATTTCTACTCGTATGTTTTCTGGTAAGATTTTTATAAAGGCTTTAGGACAAGCAGCCTAAAATAAGCATGCAAAAGCAGGCATGTAGCCAACCACGTGGCTGTGGGCATCAGTAAAAATGCAGCAGTTCAATTGTGTTTGAAGAAAGCTAAGCATTGATGCAAATGCTGGGATAAATGCCGAGGAAACTGAAAAGTGAGGAAGTGACTTCCTCTCCTCCCCTTAGATAGCCTCATACTTGGAATTCACCAATATATTTAGATTAACTTGTGCTTCTGGACTGAAAGGAAACCAGAAGACATGATGGAGTCCCTAGATTTCATTTTAACTGTATCTTAATACTCAAGACTTTGTCATCTCAATTAAATTTTCCCTATGGATTTCTGTCTTTTGGAGTCTGTGGTAGAGAGTAACTTCTCTCATGCCACTGCCTCCCCTTTGCCCTTCCCCCTACCCCCCTTCTCTCTTACCCCTTCCCCTCCCTGCCTCCCCAAAAAAGAAAAATATTCCCCTTTTTTTTCTGAAGTGTTACAAGAAACACTGACAAATTGTGCTTATCACTTTTCATATTTGCAATTTATAAATAAATTAAATTCTACCCTTGTCAAGCTGCTGCCATAGTAACTTTCCAGTAGAACTATATTGAAACTACATGCATTTGTTCTCTGGAGGAATCTCTCATTTCTTTCAAATATATCCTATTCAATCTATGTTTAAGAAGTCTGTAGTGCGTTTTTTAAAAATTAGATATTATTCTCTTTAGATATAGTTTGTGCTAAAATTAAAATATTCTTATAAACACACAGTACTGAAGCACTACTGGTTTAAAAATATATTTTTTTAGTTTACTTGGTGCTGTAATCTCACTGACAAAAAAAAACCAATTACTTAGTCATATATGTATTATAACCAGTTCATACGTAAGATCTATTGAGATTTCTGTTTGTCAAACACATTCATTTGCTTATATAGAACTATGGCTGTGAGAGACATTGCCCTTTAAAATCTGCTGTTTGAAATCAGACTACTCAGATGCAAATGCTTTGTTATTTAGGCTATGATGTCTTTGGAAGTAGGTAGTTCGTCTTCCTCTAACTTCGTAGAGCCCTGCCAAGAATTTTTTAGACTGTATCAGAAAAATATATGTATTCCAAGTCCACGCCTAGCTTGTCTTGGATCATCTGGCTGTCTTAATTTTTCCGTCCAATAGTTTATTAATCTCTTTTTTCCAAAAAGTGATTTGAACTGGGGGTGTTTTCTAACTATCTTCAAAAGGAGCAATACCCAGTAATGTGATCTGGGGTTTTTCTGATTAGTTACCTTAATGTTTACTTCATGTAAGTTCTGCTTCTATTTAATAACTCAAAAGATAAATTGCAGGTTCTGTGTGTGGGTTTCTAGTGTGTTTGTATCTATATATATATGTGTGTGTGTGTGTGTGTGTGTATACATAAATATAAAAAAGAAAAGCCAATTACTGAAATGGAAATGTAACAATTACTGTTCACTATAAAACAGGGCGCTTTGAAGAAGAATTTATCAAAATGCGTATGGAGAGGCTGCAAGCTTGGATGACAAGGATGTGTCGCCATCCTATTGTTTCAGAAAGTGAAGTTTTCCAGCAATTTCTCAATTTCCGAGATGAGAAGGTAGGAAATGGTTGGAATTGAGGAGTTGTTCCCTATTCCTCTCCTCCCCCCACACCCACCATTCCCCCTTCAAAGTAAGAATTGCACTCCGTAGTCTTCTCATTAGTCTGTCCCCTGTGGGCAGCAGCAAGGATCTGTAACCTGTTGGGTTTGGTAGATCCAGCTGACAGGTTAAAGTAAGATGTAAAGTTGCTTTTGTGAAGTACTCTATGCCACTCTAACAGATACAGTCTTGAAAGTAGCTTTGCTGCCAGTCTAAGGACAGTTTGTGTCCTCCAGCAGGACATACAAGAAATCATTGGGGTTTTTCCCTTATCCATCTCTGTCAGGCTTGCTGCGGTCCTCTGATTGGTATTGCCTTGATAACAGTAGTAACTGTTTTGTTGCAGAACTGGAATGTTTTTCACCCTGTACTATATTTAAAAACAAACAAAAATCCCCAGATACGGTTTTCACTGCAATCAGTTGTAATGGGATTATGCTGCAGTCTGACCCAATATACCAAGCCCATTCTGATTTCCTCCCTGTCCCTTCCCTTCATTTACTTATGGGTTTCTTTTTGGGGGGATTAATGTCTTCACCTTCAGTAAATAATATTTTATTCATGATTGAGCTCAAGCTCTGTTAATAATTTAGATATCAAGTGTCTACTGATGAGGAAGTGAATAGGAAAACTGCTATTTTCACCACATAGTCATACTAAATTCACATTGACTCCTCAAAAAGTAAATGATTCTTGCACGTTTTTAAGACCAGGTTGAATAAAATCCTTAGTAACTAAGGTCACATCTGACCCTTTTTGAGTAGGATGTTGGACTACAGACCTCCTGAATTCTATTCCAACCTGATTATTCTGAAATAAAGGGTTTACTAACATAATAATTGCAGTCCTAATTAAGTGCTATTTAGATGGACAGTGGTGAGTTTTATAATCATGTTAGTTAATCGCTGGCTCTTAGAATCTAACTTACAGACTGATATAAACAGAGCAGATGTGATGCATCTGGAATTTGTTCCACTAAGAGCTCAGTATGACAATTACATAAGAGTCTTATGATCACCTTGAGCAGCTTCTGATATCAGCACTATCACATGTGCACATACAGCTGAATATAAATTGTCTTTATGCTGCTTTTCAGTAGCATACAAAAGGGCCTTTTTACCACAAAATCTAGAAAACAGCGTGCTCAAGCAAAAGGGGAAAAACTCTTGAAGAAGCCTTGGCCCAACTGAAACTTTCATTGTTACACTGTAGGGATGCATTGAGAAAGTCTGAGGATCTCTTGGAATTAAACCTTGCAAAGTAGGTAAAGGTTAACAAGAAAGGTGTTGGTTTTTTTGTTTTTTGGTTTTTTTTAAGCGTGTCAACAGTAAAAGGAAGACTAGTGAAAATGTGGGTCTCCTATTTAAATGAGATGGGTGCCTTTGTAACAAGGGGCATTGAGAAGGCAAAGATCCTTCTTTGCTTCAGTCTTCAATGCTAAGATTAGCCCTCAGGAATCCTGGACCTCACAGGTAAGAGAGAGAATCTGGGTAAAGGAGGACTTTCTGTTGGTTGAGGAGAATCTGGTCAGAAAGTGACTAGCCAAAATCAGGGCACACAAATCCATGGACCCCAATGGGATGCACCTGCATGTGCTGAGACAGATGGCAGAGGTGATTGCTGAACCACTGTCTATCATGTTTGGAAGGTCTTGGCGAACAGGAGAGGTGCCTGAAGACTGGAGGATAGCTAATGTCACTCCAGTCCTCAAAATGGGCAAGAAGGAGAATCTAGGAAACAACGGGCCAGTTAACCTCACCTCCATCCCTGGAAAGGTGATGGAACAACTTGTTCTGGATGCCAACTCCATGCAGTTGGAAGAGAAGAAGTTTATCAGGAGTAGTCAAAGTAGATTCACCAAGGGAAAATCATGTTTGACCAACCATAGCCTTCTATGTTTCATCACTGGCTGGGTAGATGAGGGGAGAGCATTGTATGTTGTGTACCTTGACTTCAACAACGCATTTGACACCATCCCCCACAGCATCCTTGTATGAGACTTAAAAAATGTGAGATAGATGAGTGGACAGTAAGGTGGATTGAGAACTGGATGACTAGCAGAACTCAGATGGCTGTCATTTGTGGTGCAGAGTCTGATTGGAGGCCTTTAACTAGCGGTGTTCCCCAGCGTATGGTTCTGGGTCTGGTCTTGTTCAACATCTTCATCAATGACCTGGATGAGGGGATAGAATCCACCCTCAGCAAGTTTACTGACGATAAAAAGAATTGGCAGATACACTGGCAGGCTGTATTACCATTCAACAAGACCTGAACAGACTGGAGAGTTGGGCAGAGAGGAAGCTGATGAGGTTTAACAAGGGCAAGTTGTAGAGTCTTGTACCTGGGGAGGAATAGTAGGGGATGACCTGCTGCAGATGAGCTCTGTGGAGAAGGACCTGGGAGTCCTGGTGGCCAACAGATATTGGCAGTGAGCCAGCAGTGTGCCCTTGTGGCCAAGAAGGCCATTGTTATCCTGAGGTGCATTAAAAAGAGCATAGCCAGCAGATTAAGAGAGATAATCCTCCCCCTCTGCTCTGCCTTGGTGTGGCTGCATTTAGACTACTGTATTTAGTTTTTGGCTTCCCATTTCAAAAAAATAGGAATCTCCTAGAAGGAGTCCAGTGGAGGGGCACAGAGATGCCTGGAGCATCACCCATATAAGGAAAGGCTGAGTAACCTGAGTCTGTTCAGCCTGGGGAGAAGTCTGGGGGGAGATCTGAGAAGTGTTCATAAATACTGAAGGGATGTTAACAGCAAATGGATGAGCCTGGACTCTTCTTGCTGGTAAGGAGCAAGGAGCCTAAGACTTGAACATAGGAAGTTTGGTACTAACATGTGGAAGAACTTATTTATGGTAAGGGTGACAGAGCACAGGAACAGGTTGCCCAAAGAGGTGGTGGATTCTCATTCTCTGGAGATATTAAAGACCTGTCTGGATGCCTACCTCTGTGACCTATTGTAGGGAACCTCCTTTAGCAGGAGTGTTGGACTCGATGATCTCTTGAGGTCCTTTCCAACCCCTGCAATTCTGTGATTCATTTGAAAGATTTTAAGGTGTGGGTGGTCTGTTCGCCTAGACATTCTGCTCAGTGTTTAAGTGCACATCCTTAACATTGGATGAACAATGATGATCAGTTCTTTTTATTTTTTTTATTTTTTTTGTCTTTCCTTAAGGAGTGGAAAACTGGAAAGCGGAAGGCAGAAAAAGATGAAACTGTAGGAGTCATGATCTTTTCCACAATGGAACCAGAAGCTCCTGACCTTGACATGGTAGAAATGTAAGGTGTTGGTTTGTTTGTTTTAGAGTTTTTTGATCAGTTTGTGTTATGCTTTTTTGTATTTGCATGTTTTTTTTTTTTACAGTAAATATCATAAATCTGAGTAAACAACATATACTGAGTTAATATGAAACTAAAATAGTAAACATAGATACATAGTATGCATGACGTTGTAAAATGTAGAAATTTGGATAATGTTTCACATCCAAAATGTTTACTATTTTAGTTTTATATTAACTCAGTATATGTTGTTGTTGAATAAACTAGTGGGACAGTATGAGAAGTATTTACAGTAGCAAAAACAATAGCATACCTACGGGTGGAAATAGCCCAGTGTGGACTTTATGCAAGCTCTGTGGTACTTTTTAAGGTGCGTATAACAGCTGTGCTTGTAGCAGTTCTGCGCTAATCAGAAATAGTGGATGTTCATACATCACTTCCACTTTGAACATGAAAATTTCAAACATTCTGCTTTTCTGAAGTGGTGTGCTGTAGTTGTCCCAGTGGTATAAAAGCCTAAGAAGATGAGCCAGGAGAGAGCGCATCTGATTATATACCCATATATAATATATATAGGTATATAATTTAAATGCTTGCAAAATCTCATTCAAGATGACAGCTTTTTTTCTGCTGTTTATATGTGGGGCTTAGGTGTCTGAAGATCCATCTTAGGTATCTGAAGATAAGTGGCTTGAAAACCTCTTGATGTACCCAAAAGAGAGTGAGCACTGATATGAACACTTGCAAGAAGCCCGTTACTTCTGTAATGTTAGGCAAGACCACCAGTGGGAACAGACTGTATGTAGTGGCATTGCTGTATCACTTCTAAACCCAACCCCATCAGTCCTGTTAAGTTTCTGTGAGAAACCCCTACTGCAATCCAGGCAGCTCCAACAGAGACTCTGGCTGAGGTGGGCAGCCTAGGGTGGTGCTTAGAACTTATCCTTTGTCACTGTAAGATGACTCTGCTGCCTTGGAGATGCACACCATGTTCCAGTGCCTGGGAAAATCTCAGGGCGCTATTAAAAATGTTTGTGTGAACCTACACATTGTGTATGCTCTCAAGTCTGCTCTGTCACTCCTTCTATATTGTTAGCAGTAAGAAAGGTGGTTTGAATGCCTTAATTCTTACTTAATTCGGAAGGAATAGTTGAGGGAGAACCTCCAACTGTGAATGGTAAGAATGGAAAGCAGGCCTTGATTCATATAAAGAAAGAAAATTGAGAAGTGTATTTAAATCTTACCTTAACGAATAACCTCATGGTTTCTTTTACATAAGAGGAATAAAATGTTGTGTCTGAAATATGCCGGTGTTTCTCAACATCAGCCCCAGAATAGGACCACTTTTACAATGAGTTAATATGATGACATTTTCAGGAAAAGAAGTGAGAATGCAAATAAAACAGTGAGAGCAGCTTGCTGAATCTTTGACAGTACAGCATTTATATATATATATATATACACACACATATTTATATATATTTATATAATATATATATGTGTGTGTGTATGTATAATAATTTTATTGCATTGTTGATATTAACATTCGGTATTCCAGAGTCAGTTCTTTGTCTTGATTTTTTTTTGAGTTCTTCGAGTTCAAGCTCTCATCAACAAAACAGAGGAGAGCACAGTCTGGCCATTATTTTTGCAGTCACCTTACCTTTACTGTGGCTGTTTTGCCATCCTGGGAAAGGAAAGATATGTAGTGTTTTGTCCACTTAATTTCTTAGAAGATCGCTTACAGCATTTTAGTTGTTCTAATCAAGATAGATAAAGTAGTGATATTAGAGAGGACTACACATCAGTCTTCATACTGTACTGAGCAGTATGGTGTCAGTCAGATGTCATTTCCTTCTTTAAAACTGTGCAATTTCAGTGCTATTTGGCTATGAAGTTGTGATGTATTTTTCTGTTTTTCCTCAAATGTTTTGTGCTCTTTTCAAATAAGATAACTTTGCTCTTGAATAAAGCATGAAATATTCTTTTTATAGTCTTCAAGTCCTAACTTCTCTAAGTGGATAAATCAGGCTGTTCAGTAGTTCTTGGGTTAAAGTTTTGCAGTGTTCGATAGTTCTTCAGTGAAAAGATGCTATTTGCTGAAACAATTTTTCTAGTATTTTGGCAGTTTTTAATTTAAAAAAAGTCTGGAAAATTATATTTATTCAGTGGTTACATGAATTTTGCTGCTCCTATAACTCTGACATCTAACTTCCTGTTAGTGTGGCGTCCTTCTGTTTATATTTAGGCCTCTGTGGATGTTTTGTGTGAAGTTAGAGTAATGCATCTCTCTAAATTACTTTTTGTTTTTGCTTCTTTCATATGTCCCAGAGAACAGAAATGTGATGCAGTGGGTAGGTTCACCAAAGCAATGGATGATGGAGTTAAAGAGCTGCTGACAGTGGGACAAGAGCACTGGAAGAGGTGTACAGGGCGTAAGTGTCTCTTCAGAACTCAGCAGTGTTTTCATTCTCCTGTTTGTCTGTTTCTTTTGTAAGTCAAAGCACAGTTTAAAACTAAAGGAAATCCTAAATTATAATGAGAATTATATGCCTTTCTTGCAGTTTTTGGTGTCTGAAAGGGTGAGTTGTGAGGTTTTTTCAGTTCTTTTGTGTTTTTGCCCAGAACTGTCTGGTCCCCACCTATAGGCTTAAAAATACTGTAAGTTAAATAATTCCAGTCATCCATCTAAAATCCTTGTTGCATCTGTTCTATTTGTCATTCATCTACATTTTAGCGATGTGGACAAAGTAGACCTGTCTCTTTGATCAAGTCATAAATTGTTGCACTTTATTAACCTTTTATTTTTGCATGCTAGGAAAGGAGATTTAAACATGAAAACAGTTCAGAAAGTTTTCTTTTAATTAAAAAAAGAACACTGAGGAACTTGATTATAACTTATTCTTTAGCCCGATTCTTTTTTTCTTTTCTTTTCTTTTTTCTTTCCTATCTTGTCTCTTCCTTCCTGCAGATATTTAGGGTTGCAGAACTTCACACCAAGTCCCTATGACTGCCTGGGCACTAATTTCCTAGTCCACAGCAATGTTCAGTGTTTGTGGCCACCACAAGGCAGCTATTAAAGGAAGCAGGTACTACAGCTGAGAATCATAATAAACACTTCAGGGCAGGCTGTAGTGTCTGACTACCAAAGACCCATTGTATAATTCTCCTCAAATCTACATTTCTTTTTGTTCTATTCTTCCTCCCAACCTTCCCACCCCAGACGTTTGGAATGTCTCCTAAGTTTTTCTCTTCATTGATATCTAATCTTACATTGCAGTTGAATATCTGGAGCTGACTGGCAGGAATAGGAAGTGTAGGAGCTCAGTCTCTTCTGGTAGTGATTACATTAGCACCTGCAGGATATGGTTTTAAACTATTTACATTCCTCCACTTGACGAAGAAGGTTTCTTTCCACACATCACTGACCCTCCTGCTGCTAGCGTTAAAAATAGTCTAAATCTGAGCTCTCTTACCTCACAAAACAGAACTCTAACATTGTAGAGCCCTCATTTCACTAGGGGATCATTACTGGCAATTCTGGGTAGAAAGTAAAGGTCAGGGGAAGAAGGAGGGTCTGTCAAAATAGACTGGAACAATAGCATTGCTTTGCATTCACAGAAGAAAATGATCGAAACACTGTAGTTAAGGGTTGGCTGTGACTTGTGCTATGGCAGAAATTCATTTTCTGTTCACTGGTAAAATCTCTCTAAACTTATGACAAAAGTGCGTTAGGGATGTAATGATTTTTTTTGTATGTAATCATTTCTTACAATGTCACAGCTTTTAATTAGCTTGCATAAACACAAAGTCAGATGTGATTGGCAGTTTTAACTTCTAACTTTTCAGACATTCATACTGAATGGAAAAGGGAGAATAGTAAAATCTGGACTTGAAAAACTGAATAATTTAAATTTCTGTCAGCTCTAGTCTGTACTTCTAATCAGAAATATTTTTGGCACTTCCTGAGCAATGACTTTTATGCATTCCATTCCATAACATTTAAAAATGACTGACAATGGAAACATCAGAAATGCAAATGGTATGAAGATGTTCTTCACTGAAGTTACCACTGGGGTGTCAGGAATGAGTAAATGGCTGAAAAGAAAGAGCTTTAGTACTCTGAATGGTACCTGCTCCATAAGAAACATTAGTTTTCATGAATAATCTCACTCCTGGGAAATGATTTTATAGATGATGGATAAAGTAATCCTTTTTATTTGTTCTGGCTATAGAAGGGTCCCTCTGAAAATCCAACTGTATGTAATGCTAGAGCAACCAAAAACTGCTGTGTGCCCTCATGAGCACAGATATTTGACAACAAAAAGCAAATCTATTTATTTATTTTTTTTCTGTTCCTTGCTAGTGTAGGTAGTTTATTTAAAACAACAGCAACAAAAAATAACTGCTTTCACTGCTCAGATTGCTTTTTAGGCCTCTGGAGTGGTGATAGTCAGTAATAAACACATACCCATTAATCTTTTTATTTTTAATAATTTTTGTGAGGAAGCAAATTCTGCACATATTTTTAATAAACGGACTCAAGAATTCAGTTTTGTAATTCACATACTTACATCAGCTTTTATTCCTAGATAAGCCTGGTTTCCAGTCTCTTTAAATATCAAATCTATTATTTTAGGAGAGTTTAGGTATTACAGGTCTGTAAGCTAATTGTCTCTTTAAAATATTAGATTTCTGCTCCGTGTCACCTTCCTTATAGAGGAGGGTGAAAAAAATCTGACTGTACACATAAGTTGGAGGACTGAGGTTAAGTGTGCAGTGAAATTTTTATAGCATTTGCACACTGTTCCCCAGCTGTTTGCGGCCTTCAAAAATCCAAACTGCAAAGAGCTGTATCCAATTTTGCAGCTTGTGTAGCAGGGTGGAGGGGGTGAGAATGTGATTGTAAATGCTTCACTGCTAGCAACAATGTAATACCTCATTGGTTTTGACATCTGCTTCTTTCATGTTTTGGAAATGTTGCAAATTAAGATTAAATCTTAAAGATTTTTGCTTCTGTTTTCCTCTTTTCCCATCCCTTTGTCACTTTCAGCACTGCCCAAGGAATACCAGAAGATCGGAAAAGCACTGCAGAGCCTGGCACTGGTCTTCAGCACTAGTGGTTACCAAGGTACTTCTGCAGTTTCATTTGTATTTTAGTTAGCAAAATTATTTCAATTACATCATGCTATGTTTGGTTTCTTTTTGCAAAAGTCTTGATTCTTTCCTTTTTGAATTTAGATGTCAGTCATGTTTCTGGAAAACTACTAAAATTCTTGTTGCTCAATGTTTATTATGGTTGTTTTTTATATTTTAATCTGCAGTCCTGTTTTGTTTCTTTCATTTTGGAATCAGGTGCTGGGTTGGTAGTGGTGGAGTTTAGTTTGATCTCACTAATGTATGATCTAGTCTCTGAGCTAACTGACAAAACATGCTGTAGCTTTTTTTTTTTTTTTTTTTTTTTTGTGGCCTATATTTCTGTCATATCAGAGGAAAGGGGAGGAAATGCAGCCTTGAAAATATTTCTACAGAAATGTTGTGTGCAACAACAGCTCCACGGAAAGATGAAAAACTTACTATGAGGTTTTTGTATGCCATTAACTGAGGTGGGGAATTGGCTGCTGTAGCCTTTCCCATCCTTTGTCCTTCCTTCTTCAAGGGCCCTGAAAAAGAGTTTGTCACACTGAGTATGAAAGTTGTAGGGGAGGAATTGAGGGAATTAATTGCAATTTATTTTTGCAGACTTTTGAAGTTCTTTTTAGTCTGTAAAGTCAAAATTCTACTTTAATAGAATTTGTTATCTGGGAAACATTTCCTCATATTCCAAAGAGAGCTAATGGGATATATTCTCTCTGGAATTGTCAGGTTAACTACAATTCTTTTTCTTATATTTTATAGCAAAGTTGCTCTGTTCTAAAACCTTAAAGGTTGATGCATAGACACTTCCTGAAGTCTTTCTATATTAGGACTTTTAATTAACCAGTAACTATTTGGATTATAACCTGTTCCTCAGTTTATACTCTTAACACTTTTTTTCCCCATAAACCATGTATTAAAATGCAATCCATTTTGAAACTCAGGATCTCCAATGCTGGAAGTACTGGAATACTTCTTGTAGTGTGTTCTCATCTTTGTCCAGTACTTGAACAGGATGATTGCTTATTTAGAATTAAAGTGTAGCATCTTACTGAAAATGTTACTTTTGTATGTGAAAACCAAGCAGAGAATTTGTGTAGCTGTGTACACTCAGCATGGGTTAGAAAACAGTAAATCCTATCCAGGTACAATCTGTTGCAAGAATTCTTGTGGAAGGATTGAAATTTGTTTGAACTATAATGCGCATTCTTTACTGGGGTAAAAGAAAAACAATAATGGCTTTAAGTGAGAATGCAAACTTCTAGATCATCCTTTCAATTTGGGTGGTAAAAAAAAAAAAAAAAGTAGACCCCATGATTCTTGAGAACAAAGCAAGGATGTTGCTGTTTGCCCAGCTGCACCAGATTGCATCCTGGTGTTTTGCTGAGGAAGAATACCCTTCTCACTGATAGCCTCTGTTCTTAATCCATATATTTTGCTCTTTTTAATAGCTGGTTCACCAGTGTTTGTTTGTTTGTTTGTTTTTCCTCATAATTAAGAATATATGGGACTTCTCTTTGTAATTTCAGTTTTCAGGAAAAGACAACAAATGCAGTACATGCATTGTTTTATATGTCTATACTGCTGCCTTCAGTCTGCCATGCCTGCTCTTTGTATACAGTGTCATTTGATGGCTGCTTCAGTTAGAGATCTGTGGATTGACTAGGCTCTGTGCAAGAGACAAAAGCTCTTGAATTTAAACTGATAGAATTCAGCTTTCCTAATCTCAGAATTTAAAGGCAACACTGAACCTATTCTTTCAAAGAAAGAAGTATTAGCTAGGCTGAGTATGGGGTATGATTTTTCTGGACTTTCAATAGAGAAGACTGGTTCCTTCATACTGAAAAGAATTCAGTTCAGTTTCTGTTGGTAGCTGAATCACTTCATCTTCTTCATCCTAACTCAGATACCTAACTCCCCTGTGCTTGTTTACTTCTGATGATAAATTCTGGAAGTTTGATTGTGTAGACCACTGAAGATGACAATTTTATTACATGAGCATTTCCAGCTACTGGTAGCTGACTTCTAGCAATGTATCTGGTATGTCAGTTTATTTGCAGTTTGTATGGGACAAATCTATTGTCCTTAACTCTTTCTTCAATGCTCCTTGCTTGCTCTGCAGAGCCCTACATTGAATGTCCGCTTCCTTCTCTCCTAACTTCAATCTAAAATGTTTAAGATAGCACCAGTCAAGATACGCGTGTTAAGCTGATTCACTCAAGCTGTTTTTCTTACGCTGCAAAATGAGCCTTAGCAATTCATTCCCACCATAGGGCATACAAGGAATTTGGCTCCAGTATTTGCAGAGTTAGTTTTAAAACTAACATTGAAAGGTTTTCCTGTAACTTAGCCATGGGCCTCTGTACTGTCCAATTCATTTTAGGAACAAGTGCTTTGAAAGTATGATCTCAGTCCAGAAATATATATTGGAAGGTTCCAGAATCTGTCTGCAGGTGTCTTGCAGCCTGGCACTGAGTTGCTCATCTTATTGTATTGTGTGATGATCTGCAGTTAATGCAGCCTTAAATACTACAGTTTCTTTTATGTGGTGTCAAATGCTATGGTATGCCATTCCACTGTAGTGAAATTTCCTAATCCTACATCACCCCTCAAGAATTTTCTTAGGTAGTTGCATATAAGCTTCACAGTTGTACCAGTTAGCCACAGGCATATCTTGCCTTCCAGGCTGCTTGAGTGCTGAACGTGGCAAGTCTCAGAAGTACTTCACACCAAAAAAAGTCTTGTTACACGTTGTTTCTTAGTACATCAATCTTGATCTTTTTCCTACTCCTGGATTCTCTTAAAATGTTCGTTGAAGGGAAAAAAAAAATACTTCTTGACAAAAATTAAAGAAAAAAATTCTGTTCTAATCACACCTTATGGAATATTTGTTCCCTCAACATGGCTGGTGTATTCCTTCAGAGCTAATAACTGTTGGCATCTACCAACCGGCTAAACCCTTGAGAGGTGCTCTGCTGAATGTTTCCATAAGACTCCTCACGCTTTTACACTGTCCTTCGTCTCCCTGTAACAGCACACAGGCAGGCCTGTGAAGCAATGAAAATATCAGTTTCTCCTCATGACTGTTAAAATATCTGTAGAATACTACTGGACTTTTTAACTGGTCTTTCTACATGCATCTTTAATCAAAACTTTGAAGGCCTTTCCATTTCTCTTAGGAATACAGGTAATGAACACTATTTTAGTTGTAGATGCCAGCAGCATGTGGGCCTTCTGCTTTTCTATTCATTAAAGAGCATCCTGGTATATCCTTGAACTGGGTCCAGTTCAGCCTTCATGGCTCAAGTTGAGCTACACACTCCCAGCTTAGCGTCTTGCACAGCTCTTGAGAAGCTGAGAATGTTAAAAAGGTGGACTTGTCCAAGTAAAAAGACTCCCACCGAAACCCATGCTGACAGCAGTTAATTGGAGCAATGTGCAGGTGGAATTTGAGTTGCTCTGATGTGTGACCATGTGAATTGCATGCAGTAACTTCAGAAAGGTAGCTTGGTTGGGGACTGACTGACGGAGCACGACCTGACTCTGCTGATACGTTTTTTAACTTGAAGGGTGCAGCAAGTGACAGATGAAATCTGACTCTTTAAGACTGCTGTAGCATGACCTGAGAAAGAGATTGTAGAAGACAAGAATGCAGTGTGAGAAGCTGCAGATATTATTCTGCTGCTCATGTAACTGTCTATTATTGTGATCTGCTGTCTGGAACAACTCTTACCTGTATCATTAAGGGTACACTTCCATAGCAGAGTGAATGCCTGTTAATCCTGTTCCTGCTATAAGCAGCAGACTCTGTGCTCCACTGCCCCCACATGAAAAAGCATGTGTTTAGAGGGCTTATCTTTGCATCTCCAATATATGGAAGTCCCTTGGGGTGAGTTCTGCACAGAAGCAGGGAGGTTTTCTTTTTACTTGAATACATGTACTCTTTTTCCTTTTTTATACTTGGATAGGAAAGGTCATTTTCTTTTTATGGAATTACAGAATGAACATCAATATCTAGACCAACCTGCCTTGAATGGAATAAATTAAATTAAATTGAATAAAAATCACATGATGTTTTGTCCTAGAAATCTAGCAGTTGCCTAAGCAACAGTTAAGCTAAACTCAAGGTTACTTTTCAGCAGACCTGTGGAATTCCAAAATAGTGAAATCACTTTCCTCCCTGAGGAACTGATCTCTCTGATATTTTTTTTTTTATAGTTGAATAGGAAGAAGATAACTTTTGAATTACACACGTTTTTGGTCTCTCAATGATATTATTGTTGTTGTTATCCTTATTTTATCATAACAAGCTTAAATAGGAGAAAAACAGCTGTTTCTTTAGCCATGTTTGTACTGCTGGGCTTACTAGCGCTAAAGATCATCAGCCTTCTGTCAAAGCTTTTGCTGTTATAAAACTAGCCTAATGGAATGTAAGAATTGACTGAAAGACCTTAAGCAACATTTAGTCATTACCCTGTTTCCTTTAGGACGTGCTGAAATGAAAGAGTGCTGTATGATGTAAAATAATTTGTTAAAGATCTATAGAAGAAACTATTTTAATATTCGAATCAATCACTAATGAAATCGACTTTTGGTAATTTTCAGTTAAGTCGATGATTAATGTTCTATAGAATAAAAACAAAATGTTCTTTAAAGACTGTTAACTGCTGCCCAGTATCAAGGTGCGTCTGAAAGGATAACATTTTCATAAGCTAATATTTTATAACTGGAAATTAAACTTTCCACCTTCTCTACCTTGATTTGCTTTCCGTACTGTTGACTGAGTGTGTTGGACAAGGTAACAAGGACAAAAAAAACAACCAAACAAAAAACGGGGTTTTGGGAAGGTAAAGTGGCATGAAAAAACAAGACTGTAAGGCTTGTTTCTATCTTCGTCTCACATAGTCATGTCCTGCTAGTAATACAGTGTTATGAGTGCTTGTGGTGTTGCCTAGCTTAGGATTTGTGGTGATGTTTGTATTTTTCCATGTAGCTTCTGCAGCCTTTTATTTGTTTCATGTGATGATAAAAGTTAGAAGCTCATTTTCAAAAGCAGAGATTCTTACTGAGCTTGAAAATATATAGAAAAGTTCCCTAAAAGCTGAGAAAGCTTGTTGGCAATGAGAAAATGTTAGTAGGGCCTCTTTTTCCCTCTCATGCCTTTTAATAATTACGATCCAGGACTGCTGGAGATCTTAAGACTAGCATCACTGTTCCATAGGGCATTATGGAGAAAGTGCTGCTTGTCAGGTATGAAAATAATTTGCTAAAAAAAAAACAGAACTTCAGATCTCTCTTGAGCACTGTTGGTTTATCTCCTAGCATCACCCTCCTTGTTCTCCCTTCCTTCCTTCTTACCTTAATAGACTTTCTGATGCCCCCTATGGGGGAATACCTGTATATCTAAATAACATATAATTTTGAAGTATGGAAATGAATGGTGCTGATATGGTATAACAGTGTATAAGTGGTCCCTTCAGTATTCATTTTGTACAAGATCTTAATAGTTTTCCTTCTTTAATGGTATAAAACCAATATTTTTCCAACCTTTCTATTATTTTGGGCTATGAAATGATGAGTAGGTTTGTGTAATTATAAAAGAGTGTATTTTAGAAACTTGTCTTGAATCATGATGTGACTGCTTGTAATTTAAACACTGGTGTTTACTTTTAGGGGAATCTGATCTCAATGAAGCAATAACAGAAGCAGGAAAAACCTATGAAGAAATCGCCAGTCTTGTAGCAGATCAGGTAGAAGCATTGTGACACGCATTGCTCACACTGACATAGCACATACAAATACATCACCTGTGTGGATCTGACTATTCTTTCTCTTTTTCTCTTACTAAAACGTAACAAATGGTAATGATGCAGACCACTTAAATGAAACTGCTATTAATACTTCTAAATGCACCCTGGCCAGGCTGAGAGAGCTGGGGCTATTCAGCCTGGAGAAGGCACTGTGGCGAAAAGAGAGCGGCCTTTTGATATCTAAAGGGCAGCTGTAAGAAAGAAGGGGACAGACTGTTTAGTAAGGTCTCTTGTGATAGGACAAGGGAAAGTGGTTTCAAACTAAAAGAGGGGAGATTTAGATGGGAAATAAGGAAAAAGGTTTTTTTACAATAATGGTCATGAGACACTGAAAAAGGATGCCCAGAGAGGTGGTGGATGCCCCATCCCTGGAGACACTCAAGGTCAGGCTGGACTAGGCTCTGAGTAACCTGATGTAGCTGTAGGTGTTCCTGTTCACTGCAGGGGAGTTGGACTAGATGGCCTTTAAGGGTACTTTCCAACTCAAATGATTCTATGCCAGTTTGGGAAGGAAGCAATAAGAAGGTATTTCTCTTGGAACAGAAAGCCATTTTGGCTTCTAAAATGCTAAAATGATTACTTTATCTTAACATGTGTTTGTTTCTTGATGTCAGTGAGCTTTGTTCATTGCACAACAGAATGAGATTTAATCAAGTATAGGATTCCGTCTTACGCTGTATTCACCAGACGTCTACAAGATCCAAATCTTCCTACTTTTCATTATGTCTTGATGTGCAATTGCCTGCTACAGTAACAATCTAATTTAAATAAATCCAGATTTTATATTGGTATTCAAGCTATAAATCCGTGTTTGCAGAGTGTTTAATATTCATTTCCAAAATATAGAGCCTAATTTGAAGGTTGAATCTGGAAGCTCTTAAACAGCGTCACAAGTAAGCAACTAAGGAGGTGCACCTGTGTAGGTACACATGCAATGGGGTTGTTGCTTGAAATTGCAATTGCTAGGACTAGAAAATCCTGTGAGAATTTGGGGGAAAGCACCTCACTTCATAGGCCATTGTTAAGGAGAACAAAGAACTGAGGCTTCTGCTTATTGGTGCTCAAAGAGCTTATATTTTAATAAAGACCTGTTTAATTTGGAAAAACTTGCAACAAACAATTAAGCTTTTCACTTACTTTTCTCTAGTCTTCCCTTTCTTCCCCTACCCATTTATTGGCATCGTTATTTCTTTACTGTGTCTGTGATATTAATGTCTCAGGTAGTTTTAATAATACATAATATGATTTATTTATTAGCCAAAGAAAGATCTGCACTTCCTGATGGAAACAAATCATGAATATAAGGGATTTCTTGGTTGCTTCCCTGACATCATAGGAGCTCATAAGGTATGTGAGGGGCCTTTACTCATAACAGTTGGGCAGTGGGAAGACCTGCATGGGGAAGAACAAATGTTATTCCAACAACATAAACAGGGTTTTTTGAATATTGTTTGGCATGAAAAGGAAAGTGCAGTCTAAATCCATTGTTAAGGAGGAGGCATTTCTTTTTACCATTCTTGCTTGTGGCGTGAGGGTTTTCTTGAATCATGTTATATTGCAGTGAATTGTAGTCTCTTGGAAAACAGTGTTTGTTTTCTGAATATTGTATAACATATGGATGAAGTTCTACAGTGGTACATTTGGTAGTTTGAAGCTTTTGGTGTCTCTTGTGTCATTCAGCTCAATTTTGGAACCTGATTCTTTTGTCTCCTCTGCATGTACCTTTGCTTATTACTGCCTTTACCAACCTCAATTTCTTGGTTACCATATTCCTGCCTGTGTTTTAAATCACATCTTGCAAGCAGTGAAGCAAAAATAACAAACTTATCAGTCATTCTGTGTATATAGCGTGCAAAATTAAAATGTGGCTAGTGGAAAATTAGATGACTGTGAATACCTTTATTTTGGCTACTGTTTAATCTTTCTTCATTTGTTTTTTACAGGGAGCTATAGAAAGAGTGAAGGAAAGTGACAAATTAGTTGCAACCAGTAAAATAACACCACAGGACAAACAGAATATGGTGAAACGTGTGAGCACAATGGCTTATGCACTACAAGGTAAAACAAATTTGGAGCTAAAAGGCAATATTGTAGAGCTGAAGGATTTTTAAGTAAAAAAAATCGTGGGCAAAGAATCTTTGTTCTACCAGGAATTGTTGTTACCTATTTGTTTTCCTATAATTACAGCATCTTTTCCACCTCCCTTTTTTGTGTTTTTCTTCTTTTGTTTGCTTTTAATTGCATTTCCAAAATGTGTATTTTCTGCCTTAGCAATGTGACATTTGAAATGAGAACATCCCAGAGTACTAATTCTTTCATTTTGAAATCACAGTGAGTCTCAAAATAAAGCCATAGGCCTCGGTGCAGGAAGCAGTTGAGAACATGCATGTGTTTTTCTGACTCAGAGTTTAATCAGACATGATCCAGTTGAGTATCCTATTCTTGTAGATAAGACTTAATTTCCTGGATGTTCTTCAAACTTTTTAGGTTAGAGATGTTGAAAATAGGAGATGTAATACACTGCACTTTAAAAAAAAAAAAAAAAAAAAGGAAATTAAGGAGTCAGAGTTCAGGTTACTAGACTCTGAAGTGCATCCTGGTACTGCCCTCAATGCGGTTACTCATTGCTGAATGTTTTAGCTTCTTTCAGCTGACTTGAAGCTAAGAGTATTTAGTATTTTACAGGGAGAAGGCAATGCAGCACACAGAGCCAATTAAAGAACAAAAATCTCCCTTCCTTCTCCCACCGTTTCTTCCTGGATGCAGTGATACAAAAGAATTGTACTGTCCAAGTGGTAATCATGGGAACAGACCATGAGGATGGCTGTTGCAGTCTCAAATGTTTTTCTCCCTCTATTGATATCTCAAAACACATTTCACTTATTTCAGCTATAAGCTGTGATCTGACAAAAGATGCAGAAAGTGGTGAAAGGAATGGCTTCAGTGATGCAGTTTCTCAGATTCCTTCTGAAACAGTCAAGAATGGGTCAAACTACTGGCTGTATCTTTGTTTGAACTAAATGTTTACAGCTGTGCCTTAACTTATTTATACACTTGGAAGTCTGAATTCCCAAGCCAAATATGTTTGAAAAACTTCCCAATAGGACAGTTAACCTCAGTAAGACAAAATCTTGTTTGTTTTCTTTATCCAATCTTTGTACACGTGAGTATTGTAACAAGAACCTGTCTTTACCCAGAAAGCGTTGGTGCTTCAGCAGTGAGTATTTGACACCCTACCAATTCTGTATATAGTTCCATCATAACTTCAGCACTGCAGGCAAAACAGATTGTGGGCACATGAATAGTAAATATACTGGCAGGGCTGGACACTGAGCTTGTTGCACAGTAACTAACCTGAAGTAAGGGAAACCTTTCCTAACTATGAACACTTGAATGATTTGCCTCCTGGATCTAATTGCAGCTGAGATGAATCACTTCCACAGTAACCGGATTTATGACTACAACAGTGTCATTCGTCTTTATTTGGAGCAGCAGGCACAGTTTTATGAAACGGTAAGATGCAGTATTTCGGTGCCATTTTCCAGGCACGTACTGTACTGAACTTTTATGAGAAATACTCACTATATTTAGTCATCTTTCTGTATGAACCTCTCCTAATACAATATTTGGAAAAGAATTGTAAAAGGGAGGGGGATGAAGCCCCCATGAAAGAAGAACGAGTGACATGTTCCCTTACAGATGCTATTCCTGTGTGTGTGGCTATGTGATGTTAGACCTAAAATACAGTGCTGAAAAACTTTATTGGTGTTAACTGATAGCTTGGTTTTTCTAGTTGTCAGTTTCTTTTGGTTTTCTCATTGCCAGTACTGAGGTTACAAAGAACTTGTTTTAGATTTGTGCATGCAAATATTACCAAACAGTCCTGAAAAATGCTGTAAAGAAGACCTTCTGCAACAAATTCAACAACGACAAATAAATAAATAAAACCATTTGAATGAAACTTTTGTCCCATAGGGTGGAAGGACAAAGAGAAGCTTCTCTGATTTACAGTCTAATGTGTAGGCGTGTGGGGTGGCAAATCAGTGATTTGGTGACTAATTTAATATGTCCTCATTTAACATTGTTCTTATGCATGTTATTCTTTCTATTTTATTAAATGCAACTTGAGAAGAATTTTTCTCATCTGATATGTTGGTAAAATGTCTGAGTATACTAGAAGCTGGCTAAACTTAGAGGAGTAATTAGTAACTGGTTGCCCTTCATGTAGCAACAAGTGGCATATCTTCAGTGCATATCTTCAGTTGCTGAAAATACCAGGTCCCCTATCAGGTCACCTTGCTCAGTTCTTCTGGCTCGTCTGATGCAGCCAGGCGCGTATATTTCCCTTAAATTTCTTCTATCTTTTGTCCCAGTTCTTAACCTCTTCTGGTTGCAGCCTTGACAGTCTCCTTGTACTGAACTTCCTCTTTCACTCAGCACAGGGACCAGATCTGTGTTCACGTGTAGGGTGTTGGCTATCATGGGAGCTGTGGAAAGAGCTCAGGAACTCTGTTCTGATGTGTAGCCCTGTTCCAGGAGTAGATTTCATGAAAAGCCTGGCTTTGTTCCTGTAGTCCTCCTGAATTGTGGATATCATTGATACACTGGCAACTAGACCTTCTGAGTAGCTATGGCACCACTATAGTTAAGGTTTGTGGCATAACCAAGCTTGTGTAATCTCACATGGAAGGAAAAAACACCTCTCCAGAAAGCAGTATTGCTTCTTTCCTCCAGCCAACTGCAAGTCAGATCCAAAGCAAGCAGAAGGTTGACAGTAATGGAGCAAAGCAGCCCCCCTTCCCTCCTTGTCTCCGTAAAAATGGCTGGCAAGCCTCTAGTATAATATCAGTCTACGTTCAGATGTCCAGCAGAGAGAACTTCTGGCCAAATAGTTGCACTTCCTGAAAGTCATACTTGATTCAGTGGCTTTTACAGTGCATTGCTGGGTAACCTAACAGGCAGGATGACAGCACTGCCCGTGGTACTGACAGGTGAGAGTTCAAAGCAAACAAGGCAAGAAGTATATGCGCAAGCACAAGTGTCTCTATAACTGAATGCTTTGTCCTATGTGTACAAAGCAACAGAGTTGTGCTTTCTGAGCATCACAGAATTTGACCTTTGAGTGGCAGGAAGGTTTGTTGCTTGTTGTGATGCTATTTTTTTTTTCCTTTTTTGTCAGGAGTATGAAAAGTGAGCTTTCTCTGATCTGCTTGTAGCAGGCCAAGCAATTGGCATTCGGTGTTGCTTTCAGAATGCATGAAAAAGGATAAGGCTGATTGCAACAGAGGGAACTCTGTGATTTGAATTTGGGGTGGACCTCCGTGGAGCCAGGCTTTGAACTCAGTGACCCTTGTGGGTCTCTTCCAACTTGGGATATTCTGTGATTCTATGATTAACAGGATGTGTACTTCCTGTGTCTCAGCATGTAGGAAAAAAAAAAGCCACAGAGAATTCATGCATGTATGTAATAATCTTTTGTAATAGCTCCTGAAGTGTAAGGTGAGCCTATATTAGACTTAGCAAAAAGTCTAGCTTTGTTATGCTGCTGTAACAGACTATCTGAATACTACGATGACATGAAGAGGGATGTAGCTTAGAAACTCAGTGAGGCTTGGAGGAGAAAAAAACAAAGCAAAATCACTGCTTTGTTTTTTCTCATACCTGAGTGCACCTGGGATTTTGAACTTAGAATATTTGCAGTCAAATAAATGAAGTCATTGATCCTCATTGCGAGGAAGAGTTGAACTGCTGGAGGCTAAGCAGCATGAGGGATTACTGGTGGCTTATATCAAAGCCAGGAACAATTTCCAGCTATTAATAGCCACATTTATTGATTACATATTTCTGCTGACTGCCTTCCAAGGCCAAGGCCGTTCATTACTGCTGTGTAAACAGTACTTTTGTTTCTGACAGTTCTGACATAGTCTTTTTCAAGAGAAGGCGATAACAGGTCTGAGTTGGGATACGTGGACTGCACGGAGCTCCCTTACATACCGTGTTGTATTTGTGGTATTAAGAGAGCAGCTGAACAGTGTTGACAGTCTTGTACTTGTTGGGGGGTACTGAGGAAGGACAGCAATTTTTGGAAGATGAGGGAACGCTTTGTTTTATTTCTTGCCTGCCTGCACTGTTATTTCTGCATAGTGTAAAGTGACTGCTTATTAACTGTGTTCTGTTTCTTTGTTTCAGATTGCACAGAAGCTGAGGCAGGCACTCAGCCGCTTTCCTGTGATGTAGAGAATAAGGAGTAGTCAACGATGAATAACCACCTTGAAGTGCTTTTCTGATCTGGGGGCAATGCCAATAAAAACTTGTTAGCCTTTGCCAGCCAAAAAATGAATCAGTTATGGGGGGGGGGGGGGGGGGGGG